TTGCCCAGGATCACGAATGAGCAGAGTCTGTCTGGCCCCAGAGCTTATTCTGTCTCAGCTTCTGAAAGCAGATCACATAGCCAGGCACATGCTGCGGCAGGGTTCTCCCTGCCCTACTGTTTTACTGCTGCTCAGGAGGCCCTGTGGGGCGGGTGTCTACAACGTGTGCATTTGTAGGAGTGTCCCAGGAGGAGCATTTTTTTCCACTTCTACTCTGCTGCTGGCTCACTCTGTGTGTCTTAGGACACATCTCTCAACCTCTCCGGGCTCCACCACTGTACAGTGAAGGCTCTGGATTGATAATCTGAATGCCGTGTTCTAATTGAATAGTGGGTTTCTTGGCCTTGGGTATTCTGTGTCTCATTTTTGTCTTTACTTGTTGGCTCCACAAAGCAAAACCTACTAGTGTCAGTCATCCTTACTATCTAACTTTATATTGATGTTGACTGTGTAGACCAATTCTAGCTACATTAGCCTTTTGTTCATATAAAATGAACCACTGACACGTAATTGTTACTGTTTTCCATAGCACACTGTGTCATCCTGACTCCATGTGTAGAGTGTTCACTGTGTACCAGGGCTGCTCTCAGATAAAACCTGTTCTGTTGAAGTCCTGGCTGGCCCTAACTTCTTAAGTTTAACAAGGTTGAGAACAAAAGTGACGTTGATTAGCATTGTCCTAATCTGGTTTATCAATAGCAGGGGAAATTATAAGCAGTTACCAAAATGCATCCAAAATAAGATGGCTTAATGGCTAGGTAGAGGGGGAGATGTGGTGAAGTCAGCACAGCAGAATGGCAACAAGTGAGCACCTCCCTAATGGGAATGGGGCATTCCTGGAACAGCTGGGAGAAAAAATGACCAAAGCTACTGGGAAATTCTGCAGAGATAATTGTCCCATTATTTTTTAATTAATTAAAACTAATTAATTCAATTTTTTTGAGACGGTGTCTCGCTCTGTCACCCAGGCTAGAGTGCAGTGGTGCGATCTCAGCTCACGGCAACCTCTGCCTCCCAGGTTCAAGCGATTCTCCTGCCTCAGCCTCCTGAGTAGCTGGGATTACAGGCACGTACCACCATGCCTGGCTAATTTTTGTATTATTAGTAGAGACAGAGTTTCATCATGTTGACCAGGCTGACCTCGAACCCCTGACCTCAGGCGATCACCCACCTCAACCTCCCAAAGTGCTGGGCTTACAGGCGTGAGCCACCACACCCAGCCAATTGTCCCATTCAAATGAGACCAGTGGAACATGGTTATATTTTAATTTACTCAGTTAATCATCTGCAGTGTCTTGCCTGAACATGGTTTATTTTGAAGTAGGACCTCCAGTCCAGTTGTAAACTTCTAGGGGAAAAATACCAAGTCTACCCTCCAGGGTTCCAAGAGTCGCCCTGAGCCGCGGTGCAGGGAAAGGCAGGCTCTCTGACTTGCAGCATGGGCCTCATGTGAGGCAATTCTTTACAACGGTAATGGCCCTTGGGCCATGCCCAGGCCCCTGCCCGGGTCCATACAGCCCGCAAGCTAAGAGTGGTTTTCACATTTTTAAATGGTTGGATGAAAATTAAAAGAATAATGTTTCATGACATGTGAAAGTTACATGAAATTCAAATCTCAGTGTCTATACATGAAGTTTAATTGGAATACAGCCACATCTTTTAGTTTACAAATTGTCCATGGCTGTTTTCGTGCTACAAACATAGTTGAGTAGTTGTGGCAGACCGTATGGCCCACAAAGCCTGAACTATTTACTCTGTGGTTCTTTACAGAAAACCTCTGCCTTACAAAATGAAAACATTACTTCTACACTCTCAGCAAAGATTCAGCAGTTAGATTCCAAGCACATAAGACCACATGGTGACCGTATCCCATGGCCTACAACCTTGACTCTTTGATTTATTTTACTTTCTGAAATGCAGTTTTGTTTTTCTTTCATCTACTCTAGTAGCCAAAGTAGTTGGCTCTGTGCAGCACACCATACAAAGTTCTCAGGCTTCTCCATCAGCCTTGCCTTAGCTTTACATATTAGGCGTGACCTAGAGAAAAAAAAATGTTGACCCTAAGAATTCTATATAATAAAAAATCAACTATGAATTGCAGGGTCACATTGACTTTCAGAGATTTTCCCGAAAGGAAAAATAATTGCCCCTTAGATATGAGAGTGGAGAACAAAACACTGAAAAGCACGCTCTGTCCGTCTCCGTGGGTAGACTATGCACCACGCACATTTAGCTCTGAAACATGTTTCCTGTGAGAAAACCAGTAACACAGACAATTAAGAACCATTACACAATTAATTCGCATTTCACTGGGATGTTTACTGGCTCCCTGTGGCTTAAATGTTCTCAGAGCCACACTGTGTAACCACAGGACAAACAGAAAAAGCAAGTTCAAGTGGCCTCATAGAGACATGGCTTCAGGAAATCATTTTTTCCTAGAGTGCCACATGCAGAAGCGAGGTCCCTGAAATGCTCAGTGGGTCACCTCCGTGGTGGGACTGAGCGTTGCTGGCTGATTGCTTTTGATGAGTTAAGTGACAACTAACACACACTTGCATAGACGGTTCTCATGTTGTTTGTGTTTACAGCCTTTGTGCATGACTTTTTCCTTTTTTTTTTCCCCCCTTTAGCTTTTCTGGGTTTTTTTTTTTTTTCTTTGCCAGCAGGGAAGCCAAAGAAACTTGAACTTGATTCTGAAGTGCAATATTAAGTAAAAATATGTAAATCAAGTATTATATAATTGAATATTGATCAAATGCCTTTAAGCAGGGCCCTATGCTTAGTGAGGTTCACTTGTTCATTCCTAGTGAACATACTAAGCACCTGTTAAGTGCTGTGCACAGCGTTACCCAGGTGAGCTGAAACAGGTGTGGTCACTGCCCACATGGAGCTTGCAGTTCAGAGGGGGAGGAGTGGCACATCTGTTCGCTGCACAAGTGGATGTGAAACAGCAACTTGACGAGGACTCAGTGGTGAAGATAGGGTGTCAGAAGTGGGAAGACTCCAGGAGGACAGCACGACACTCCTGGGGGATCCACCTTGGAGGCACTGCTTGAGATTTAGGTCTTTGTGCAGAAATCAATGGAAAGGCATTGAAGAATTTTAAGCGAGGAAGTGGAGTGACCAGATTTGCATTTCAGAAAGCTCACTCTCATTGCCTAGTGGGAAATGGATTGTAGGGGACAAGATGAGTACGTGTCACCAGTTAGGAAGTTGTTGCAGAGATAAAAGCAAGAGCTGATAGTTTTGTTGCCCAGTGTGCTGGCAGTGCCCAGGGAACTAGTGAGGACTGCAGGAAGTATTGTGGGGAGGTGGGGGAATTGGCAGGACCAAGGGCCAGACTGGGTGTGGAGGAAGGAGGAGTGGAGACTGGAGAGGGAGTTGGGGGGACTAGTGGGTCGGGGGTACCATTTGCTGAGATGGAGCTGAGCTCACCTGCCACTGTGTCCTCAGTGGACACAGGCCTCAGCTCTGTGTCAGGGGCTCCCTGCTGCCACACCTTGTTCCTCAGTCCTGGCCTGTGAAGGCCTCTGCCTTTGGAGGTGCCTGGCTTCCTCTGTGGTCCTGCAACTCCCCCGATCGCCTGCCACAGTGCTCTCGTCCTCCCAGCTGGCAAAGATTTCCCCTGCTCCCCCTGTGGCTCTTCTTATATGGACCGTGGCTGGCAAATTAGCCTCTTTCCACCCCTCCTAGCATTTTTATAATCCACCCTCTCCTGTAGCACCTAGCCCAGTGTCCTCAGATAGCGGGAGGTGGGGAAATAATAGACATCCCTGCGGTTGCATTGAGTGTGTGTGTGATGTGTGTGTCACTTTCTGTAAAATGGGTTCTTTCAGGCTCACCTCACTGGCAGGTCCCCACAATCCTGGCAGCTCCAGGACTGTCATTCAGCTGCTGGCCTTTCCAGATGCTCGTAGGGGTCTTCCAGGCTTCATGGAGAAATGGCTGTGAGTGCTACTCAGTCATGGCAATTAAAGAAACAGGCACTAAATTTAAAGGGAACACTGAAAGATAGCCTAGAAAACGATACATTAGCGAAGCATGTTGTTCTGAAAAAACAGTAAATTATAGCAACAGGTAGATTTTTAAGCCAAAAGTCAACCAGACTTGGCCCAAAGGGAAGGAAAAGATATTTGCAGGGTTTCCTTTGTCAGAAGAGCAAGGTCCTGGCCTTGAGAAGGGCAATGGTGGTAGGTGGGGTAGGGCAAAGCGTCAAACTATGCACCAAGAATGGTTTCTCTACCAACATCTCCTGTGACCATTCAGGCAATTCTTAAAAAATCTCAGCATCATAAAACATTCGAGTGCTGCTGCCTGGGGAGACTTTTAAATTCATTAAAATTGCAAAAGCTCCTGAAAAGGCACACAGAGAAATCGTATCCTGTGGAGCCAGTTTTCTTGCCATATTGGCCTCAGTCAAGAAGTCACTGGGTCCTGGATGCCATGGACGCTAGCATTTGTATGACACTTGCAGTGCCCTCTACCAGGTGTTTGTGTTGAACTCCTTTCTTAGGCTGTTAGTATTGCTGCCACTGGTTTGACTCAGTATTTTAACTTCCTTACCAACATCCTGAATTCCCTACTGTCAGTGTTTCATTTTTAGCTTGCCTGAAAGCACTAAAGCTTCACGCATCAGTGTCTTCCAGAAGACTGTTGAGGGAAACCGGTCCTCTGCCTCAGGGGCCCATGCGATCATCCTCCCCCAAGAACACGTGGCCCTACACAGGCACAGCTCAGCAGCGCGGGGTGGGCCATGCAGACCTGCCAAGGGGACACACCCAGGACGGGAGCAATGCTGTTGAGTAGCGACCCTCCCAACGAGCCCACGCTGCATCCCGATATTTTTCCTTTACTTTTAAACTCTGGGAAGTAAGTGTAAAGTTCTGGCCTCCAGTGAATCAAAGTACTCCTTCTCTAATGCATTCATTATGAAAATACTGGTTTCATTGTCTTTTTTTTTTTTTTTTTTTCAGAACTTAGACTGTTTCTTTATTTTGCAGGCATGAAAACAAAAAGAAACTCATGATCAAGTTAAAATCTAATGGTAAGAGAGATAATCGGACAACAGATTTTCTTTTTGTGTTTTAACCAAAAAACTCTGTGACATGCATTTGTTGTTTACACCCTCATGTGAGTCCTGAAGCGGGCATGCTCACAGGGACTGCCATTGCAGTTCTCCCTGGGGTGGAGCCTGAGGGCTTCTGGAGGCTCCGTTCTTCACAGACAGGACCACACAGGTGCCATGGACCTCAGGGGCAGAGCATTGTAATTTGCAAGTATGAATTTGCAGGGGATCCTGGCCTCCATGTCTAATTAATTATCGGCACCGTGTATTTTACCAATAAAATGTTTCTTGACTCTCGCCATCCTCAGAAGCACCCATTGCTCATGACTGCACAGGCTCTTGGAGTAACTCTAACTGGTTTCCTCATACCGAGTTCCTCCCAGCTGTTGACTGTCCTTCACCTGGCCACCAGCCTCCAAACCCTGGCTTCCCCCGACCTTCCTGTGTAAGGACTGCCAATGCCTCCCTGTGCCTGCAGGGTAGTCTGAGCTTTCTCCATTCCTGGGAGGCCTCAGCTCTGCTCTCCAGCTTATTCCTCCCAAGGTCCCCTGTTTGGGTCAAGCCACAGTCAGCTTTTTTCAGCTGTACCACACTTATGCCTCTGTACCTTTGCCCGTGTTATTCCCTCTGTAGGGAGTTCCTTTTCCTTCTCCTCAGCCCAGTGAGCTCCTATTCATCCTTCAACCCCCAGCTCACAGGAAAAATCTAGCCTTCCTTCTACCATAACACTGTGGCATATCCCCTGCCCGGCTTGGGCTCTCTCAGCTCCTGTCTTCTTAAACTGCTTATACATTAAATTAAAGGTATAATTCGATTAATAGTTTTACTGCCAATAACAAAAATATCTACTATTTATTTAGCACCCAGTATGTTCCACTTTGCTAATGCAGCGTGGAAACTAATTCAGAGCTGCTGTAGAACCTAGGCCTAGGAATCTGCATTTTTAGCAAGCACCCCAGTGTGAATCACTCTTCTAGAAGGACAGCTACCTACTGTGGGGGAGACAAGTACCCAATGGGTTGTGATGGAGAGTACGGGCTTGAGTCAGATGACTTGGGTAGGACTCCCAGCTTGGCTACTCACAGGCAGTGATTGTGGCCAATTTCTTAACCCCCTCAGCGCCCATTTGTTTGCTCAGTGAAATGGAAACATTAATACTTACCTTGCCAGACTGGTGTGAGGATGAGATTGGGTCGCATATGAGAAGTCAGCACAGAACGGGCAGGTGTTGCCATGCGGGCGTCCGCAGAGTTAGGGGATTGTTGATGCAGTAGACGCGGTGCACTCCACCACCACATCCTGCCAGACCACCCACAGGGCACCTCAGCTCCAATTCGCCCACAGCTTCCTGCACCAAGCAGCTGTGTCTCTCTACCTGAGGGCTTTCTCTGGCTGCAAGAGCATGCTCAGCCCTCACAAGGCAGCCCAGAGTACCACGGAGTTAATGCCCTGGGTTGAGAGCAACCCTCAACCAACAGAGGCAAGTTGGTGGATCAGTAACCCCGCTCCCTTGCTCTTCACTGGGACAATCTTGGGGAAAGTTCCGCAGTCTCTCAGGGGGCCCCAGCAGGCTGAGCCCTGCCTGTCCACTCACTGCCAGGCACCCACTCATCATCATACCCTTCATTGGCTTCCTGTCTTCCTTGTTACACTGTCTCCATGGTTCCTGGGATCACCTCTCAAGTAAACGATGTGAACCAAAGCCCTGTCTCAGGCTAACCATCTCTGCTTATTCCTCTGTCACGTCTTTCCCTTCTCCTCTCTGCTCTCATAAAGAAGAGTTGGAGATAAAAGTGGAGGGACAGCTGAGGTGGGGCAGCATCAGGCTGATACAGCACACCAGGGAACCCTGCTTCCATGTAACCCTGACTTTAAATCTCTATCCTGTAATAAAGAGTTGGGCACACAGAAGGGAAAAGGAAGTATTCTGCAAATTGTTTTCCATAACAGTGCATAGGACACACTTTGTGTAATTTGTGCAGTATGACATGCATTTGGGTGTGTCTGGTCAGGTACATCACGTGGTGTCCCTGTTAGGCATTTTGCAGACCGACACTCCGCTTAACCAGTCCTTCCGTGCTCTGCTGTTTTGTAAGCTCTTAACCAGAGTGCAGAAATGTTAAATGACTGTCTGGTTTTATTTTCCAGCCCTCTGGGATGAGTCTGATGACAGTGACTCAGAAATTGAGGCTGCTTTACGCCCTAGAAACCATAACACTGATGATTCTGATGATTTTTATGACTAACTTGCTGTGACATCTGTTGTAAATAAAGTCTTTAAACAAACTGAAACCCTGTGTTCATATGTGATGTCAAAAATGAATATGTTCTTTTAAGTTTTCTAATTGTTTCATAGGAAAACTTAGGACTACATTGCTATTCAAGTGAAATTTTATGACATAAATATGAATTTGCATATTCATTTTTAAGTGTCATCATGAAGCAAGTGATAAATGCAATGCCCATCAAAATTCAAGGTGGTTTCTATGTTACGAATTAGCCAACTGATCTTAAATTAATGTGGAATTCAAGAGACCCAGAATAGCCAAAACAATCTTGAAAAAGAAATACAGTTGGGAGGCCAAGGCTGGTGGATCACTTGAGGTCAGGAGTTCGAGACCAGCCTGGCCAACATGGTGAAACCCCATCTCTACTAAAAATAGAAAAATTAGCCAGGCATGGTGGCATGCACCTATAATCCCAGGTGCTCAGGAGGCTGAGGCAGGAGAATCGCCTGAACCTGGGAGGCAAAGGTTGCAATGAGCCGAGATCACGCCACTGCACTCCATCCTGGGTGACAGAGCAAGACTCTGTCTCAAAAAAAAAAAAAAAAACCGTTGGATTTCTCACATTTCCTTATTTCAAAACTTACTGAAAAGCTACAGTAATTGAGATACTGTGGTACTAAATAAACAGAAATCAATGGAATATTGACTGTTGATTCATATGTATCTAGAATTGAGAATACAAAAACAAATTCTCACATTTAGGTAAATTAATTTTTGACAAGGGTGACAATTTCTGCTACTCAATGGGGTAAAGAATAGTCTTTTCAACAAATGATGCTGGGACAAATGGATAGCCACATGCAAAAGAATGATCTTGGATCCCTACCTCACACTATATACAAAAATTAACCAAAATGGATCAAGAACCTAAATATAAGAGCTAAAACCATAAAACTGTTAGAAGTAAACATAGGTGGCCAGGCACGGTGGCTTATGCCTGTAATCCCAGCACTTTAGGAGACTGAGGCAGGCAGATTGCCTGAGGTCAGGAATTCCAGACCAGCCTGGCCAACATGGTGAAACCCCGTCCCTACTAAAAATACAAAAATTAGCCAGGCATGGTGGCAGGCACCTATAATTCCAGCTACTGGAGAGCTTGAGGCAGGAGAATTGGTTGAACCTGGGAGACGAAGGTTGTAGTGAGCCAAAATCACACCATTACACTCCAACCTGGGTGACAAGAACAAGACTTGGTCTCAAAAAAAAAAAAAAGAAGTAAACATATGTGTAAATTTATCTAACCTTGGATTAGGCAACAGTTTCTTAGATATGACTGCAAAGGCTTAGATGTGGTTGCAAAAGATACCATCAAAGTTAAGCCAGGTGCAGTGGCTTATGCCTGTAATCCCGGCACTTTGGGTGGTCAAGGTGGGTGGATCATTTGAGGTCAGGAGTTTGAGACCAGCCTGGCCAACATGGTGAAATCCCATCTCCACTAAAAATACAAAAAGCCAGGCGTGGTGGCACACACCTGTAGTCCCAGCAACTAGGGAAGCTGAGGCAGGAGAATCGCTTGAACCCAGGAGGTGGAGGTTGCAGTGAGCCAAGAGAGCGCCACTGCAGTCCGGCCTGGGTGACAGAGTGAGACTCCATTTCAAAAAAAAAAAAGTAAGTGAAAAGACAATCTATGGAATGAGAAAATATTTGCAAATTATACATCTAAAAATGGACTTGTATCCAGAAATACATAAATAACTCATATGACTCAATAATAAGACAATCCAATTTCTAAAATGGGCAAAGGATCTGAGTAGATATTTCTCCAAAGAAGATACACAAATGGCCAATAAGATGCATGGCATCATTGGTCTTCAAGGAAATGCAAATCAAAACCACAGTGAGGTACCCCTTCATGCCCTCTAGCATGACTGGAATCAAAAAGGCAGGTAACAAGTGATGAGGAAGTGGAGAAATCGCTGGCAGGGATGTGAAATGGTGCAGCAACTTTGATAAACACTCTGGTAGTTCCTGAAAAGGTTAAACAGAGGGATTATTACCTAATGATTCTACTCCAAGAGAAATGAAAACATCTACACAAAAACTTGTACAGGAATGTGTATAGAAGAATTATTTGTAAGAGCCGAAGAGTGGAAACAACCCAAATGTCCATCACTTATAAATGGATAAACAGAATATCCATAGAATAGAATATCATTCATCAGTAAAAAGGCATGGAGTACTAATCCATGCTACAACATGGGTGAACCTTGAAAACATTATTGTAAGTGAAAGAAGTCACTCACAAAAGACCACATTATGTCAAATTCATTTCTATGCAGTGTCTAGGATAGGAAAATCCATCCACAAATGAGTGGTTGTCTAGGCCTGGGGTCGGGAGAGAAGTGACTGCTGATAGGAGGGGTTTTGGCAGGAATAATGAAAATGTCCTAAAATTCATTGTGCTGATGACTGTATAATTCTGTGGATACACCGAAAACCATTGAATTGTACACTTTAGGTAAATTATATGCTATGTAAATTACATGTCAATACTGTTTAGAAAAAGGAAATTGGTAATTCATACATCTTGGGGTCTAGTGACTCGAGTGACTACAGGCAACTCTTGGTGCAACACTTTCTCACTTAAATAGTCACTTTAGTCAATGTTAGAAGTTAATTGTGCAACTCAGGAGCCTGGAGGGGGGTCATGGTGGGTCATGTGACTACTCTGGCTTCCTTTGGGCCCTCAGAATCTCTGAAATTGAAATGATTTTTAAAGCATTGTGTTTTGTTTTTAAATCCTGCTTGTCACTCACCCTGCTCAAGAACTTGGGAGTTGTTTTTGGTTCACTCCTTTATTCTTCCTTCTCTTCACTGAAATTACCAAGGCCCTTCCCTGCCATCATCACCATCCGCATCTGAGCCTTCACACCTGAGTTTCTGCAGCAGCTGTCTTGATATTGCCCTTGGCAACTAAGAAAAATCCTGCCATGGGTTACCTTTTTCTTTCTTCTTAAAAAGGTATAATTTGTGTATTATTAATTTGCTAATAAAACAGCTGCTATTTATTGAGCACCCTATTATGTCCCAGACACTTTGCTTGCTTAGCATAGAAACCCAGAGCTGATGCAGAGACTAGGAATCTGGATTTTTAGCAGGCACCCCTGTGGGAATCACTCTTCTAGAAAGACAACTATCTACTGTGGGGAAATAAATTCAACTCTGAAATCCGTGTTTTTATCCATTTGATGGGAGGCAAGGAATGTTGGCTGTTTGGTTTTTCTGTTTTGTTTTGTTTTTTTCTTTTCTATTTTTTTCTTTTTTGCATTATGTTGTTCTGGCTTAGTTGTTTGTTCTAATAAGAAAATATTTCATTCTTTGGTTTTTAAAACTTTTAAGCTTTATACTCCAGCATTGTTTTTCTATATTCTCTCTTCCCTATCCACCATTATTAAATAATGGGAGTTGACTCTAATGGTAATTCTGCACATAAATAAGGGGGTACATTATGGCTCAAAGCACACGATGGAAAGATTTAGAATCATGCTATTTTAGGACTGGAAAAGCTTTTAGAGATCACATGGTCTTTGAAGTTTAGAGTCAAAAAGGACATTATTCATCAAAACTTCTCATTTTAGAAAACTTGGTCAAAAGTGATACATAAATAAGGCAGCCAAGTGAAGAGCAATATAGATACTAAGTTGTCAGTAACACTAAGAAGGCAAGGAAGGAGAAGTGTGCCTGGCAAGGATTGAAGTTAAATGGAAACACATGACTTGCTTTGGCCTATGCAATGTGAACACAAGTAACTGATGCCACTTTTGGTGAGAAGGTTTAGTGCTATGTGTGATTCTCTGTGTCCTCTTTCCTGGGTCAGCAGCCATGGCAGCATGGGACAAGTGGAGCCTGCATCAGCCTGGGTGCCTCAGTGACTAGGACGGGCAGACCTCCCCGCTGATCATGTTCGCACCACTGGAATTGAGAGGTTGTTACCACAGGAAAATTCTGGCCTAGCCTGACCAATATACTATTCTTCCATTTACGTATATTCTTTTCTTTTTTTCCTTTTGTGTGTGTGTGTGTGTGTGAGTGACAGTCTCACTCGGTCGCCCAGACTGGAGTGCAGTGGCAGGATCTCAGCTCACCGCAACCTCCACCTCCCAAGTAGCTGGGATCACAGGTATGTGCCACCATGCCTGACTAATTTATATATTTTTAGTAGAGAGGGTTTCACCGTATTGGCCAAGCTGTTCTCGAACTCCTGACCTCAAGTGATCTGCCCTCCTCTGCGTCCCAAAATGCTGGGATTATAGGTGTGAGCCACCATGCCCAGCCATTTATGTATATTCTGATTAGGCCACGTGTAATTTAATTTTGGAGTAGTGAGACTTGCAAGGTTTCCTAAATGCTCACTGAATAAACATTACACCTTTAAGATTTTTTTAAAGAAAATTTGATACTGAATAAAGGACATCTTTTTTCCTTTTTCCAGTTGAGAACCTGAAGTGTCTGTGGTTAGACTATTTCTAAATGAAGTGTTAACAGTTACAGTTGCAGAAGGTGAGGAACAAGTTGCACACCTTGGGGCAGGGGTTGCGGGACGTTTTTAGAACTGAGCTGTGGTAGCCAATAAATGGGAGCCTGTTGACAGGAAAAACTCCAGAAACCACAGCCTGCTGGGAAGCCCTCTGTGGTCTCTGGAAAGCAGGAACAGCATCTGGAGCATTTCTCTGGGTATCTGTATATATCTTGACTGGAAAATAGCAAATGAACTGGGTTCCTCCAACCATCTGACCCAAGAGGTAGAACTGAATCCTCCCTCCTCTCCCCATTTCTAATGTGGGCTGGACTTAGTGACTCACTTCCACAGAATAGAGATGGAAAGGGGGAAATAGTGATGGTACAGTGGAGAAACCTGCCTGACACCACCCTACGTGATGAAGGTTAACACCCATGAGTGATGACTCGTATGGATATCTGGAACCCTGACATGCTGCCAGGAGACAGGCACTTCTCCTCTACAGTGTTCTTTCTGAAAAATCTTAACCACAGCCTCATCATGAA